GGGGGGGGGGGGGGGGGGGGGGGGGGGGGGGGGGGGGGGTAAACATGAAATGTGGCTAGAGAGGCTAATATATTTGTACAATGGCTTCGAGGGACTAAATATATCAGCATAATGAGACTTTGCGCGGGCGGGCAGTCTTATCGCTCGCCCTTACTCTCGACACAAATGACTGATTCCATTTAGCAACAGACGCATTCGAGGCCCGGGTGGTACCAGGAATCACTGTTGTTTAGGGCGTGGACGATATATTGCAGCAAACGAGGGTGGCATATTATTTTCCCGCCCTGCCCCTCATACGTTGTTTATTGCATTGTGTAGCATTCGCAGCACCTTTCGCATGGAGGCTCCGCAGTACCGCTCCGGCGGCTCTCCGCCCGGAGGCCCTCGCAAGATCTCCTCAGCAAATGTCCTCGACGAGACCGAGTGCACCTGTACTTGAATAGCCTCGGCGAGGCGCTCCAATGCTAGGTGGAGGTTCTCCTGGACGACCAGTACCTGTACAAATACAGGCGAATCGGAGGGGGCGTGCGCACGCTGTGGGCCGGGATAAAGGAGCAGAAGCACCAATCGTACCTGCAGCTATTGCATCGCTCGCTTTCTCCCTCTCCCATGTCTCGGTCCAATCCATCTTTCTGTCACCCTGTGTATCCATCTCTATGTCCGATCCATCTCTCTGCCGCCCTCTCTATACATCTGCCTATATCCCTCTCTATTCTGCCTCCCTCTCTCTAAAAAAAAAACTGCATCTCGCCGCCCCTCCTTCCGTCGCTCTCACTGTGGTTCCGCGCTGCCGAAGATAGCTCCCTTTGGGAGGTTTCTGCGGCGAGAGGTCGTCGTTCGTGCCTCTGGTATCCACCGTGGAGCACATACTCGGCCATCTTTCTCATAGAAAGGCGCGTGTTGGGGAAAGGAGAGGGAGGGGAAAAAAGAACGTGGGGTGACGTTCAACCGTTTCCTGGGTGTATATGGCGAACGGAGAGGCCACAGATGGTGCAAAGAGGGCCTCTTCTGGATCGTTTTCGATTACCGTAATTACGGCCGACACGATGAGCGTGGCATACCTCCTGTGACGTAGGTACCATCAAGCGTCGGATGTGACTCGAGCAACAACGAGAACGGGCTCCGTCAAACAAGAGCTCAGCCTCAAAGAGAGATGTTGAGCGATCACGGCCCTCATCCAAGCATTTCACAGTCAGGCGCATTCCTCCTTGGTAACGCTCGAAAGAGCTTACATCCCGCCCCTCCCCACTTAAGCGTGTCGGGCTCGGGCAGATGTTTGTATGTAAATAGAACAACGGTACCGATGCATGAGGACGGCTGTATTGCTGAGTTTCTGCGCACGCTCGTGTCATTGGTGAACCCTTCCGTTGGTCGACGTTTCCCTCCGTATGTGAATTATTTGTCAATAATTGTGTTATTTTGGTTTCATCACTGCGGCCTGGAGTCGACTTGATTTTTGCCGCATTCACCAGGTATGCTGTAACATTGGCACACGGTCGAGTCTGCTACTTGTCCAGGGAAGAATTACGTCGCTCGAAATTGAATTATCCTTTTTTCGACCCGTCGTTTTCGACAGTACCGGTCATTGTCGGTGTGATCGGCGACAATACTGGAGACCGCTCTGCCATATGCCGGTTGGTTCTTCAATGTATTTCTGACTTGCAGTCCCTTGTACCTCAAATCATCTGGTACTGGAGCCTGCCGAAACAGGTCTGGGGTCAGCGGGTGGGAACCGCTTGGATAGGAGGGAACACGAGTAATATGTACATTCTGTGAACGAGAATCCAGAAGCAAATTCAGAACAACAAGCCTATCATCCCATGCCTACCTCCACGTCAGGCTCTCCTTCAATCGTTCATCAAGCTTGTACCCATCACCACCCGGGGCGCCGACTCCCTTCACTTCTGGTTCGCGCCTAGTAAATCTCCCCCCACCGCCCCTGCTGAGTCTACCGTGGGTGCCTCCGCCGTTTCCAAAGCGCCCATCAGCATCGTCGCCGCCACCGATGCTGCTTAAAGCGTAATCATCGTCCCTGTCGTTGCCATTGCTGTCACCGCTGCCTTCGCGATGCAAGCGTTGTGTTGGCTTCGGGTGGTTGTCGCGATTTCCTTCACCAGGGAGGTTTCTTGACCAGTTCGCATGTTCTCCGCCGGTGTCGTCGTTGCTGTAAGCATCCGCGCTTTCCGCACCTCTTCCGGGAATGCCGTTCAGACTGTAAAGAAAATGGTCGAAGCAGAGTTGAGATGCATTTTGCTCGCGGTGTTTTGCTGGATACTGTCATCGCGACCCTAGTGGGTCTATGGACGCATTGTGATTGCTCGTTCAGGTGGGATGGTAGGGACGTGACAGCGACGTCTTTACGGTATCTTTCTATGCACAGCCCGCTTTTTAGGTTATCCTACTGTGCCGCTCGAAGTGTACTTCGTCAGCCGCTGCTAGGGTCGGGTGGTGTTAAGGGCTTCTGGAATCAAGGTGGGTAGTTGCAAGCTAAGGTTACAAGTACTTCATTTCGAACGACAAACGATCCATTTATTCGAGAAAGCGGAAGGAAACACAGGGTGCGTCACTCTCTCAGACCCAGAACATGGCAGTTGTCAAGACCCACGCTCATGCTAGAAACGGGGCGATTGATCCTGAAGCGTGCCGTATTCGACTGCGCTCCGCACATATGGATGAACGTTGGTGTTGAAGGGCCGAAACCGTTTGACGGGGTGTTTCCCTCAAACACAAACGTGCGATTAATGCAACGGTACTTCTGGTAGAGATGGTGGTGCATGTCCGCAGCCACGGAGAAGTACTGACCACTTTCAGGCCAAATCCAGCAGTGCAGAAGAATGAACCTGATTCACAACACTTAGAACGATGAGAACGCGTTCTGATATTGATATCAAACTTTGTGACTTGAAGAGTTGAGACATATCGGGGATTCACAACGGCGCGGTTCCACGCGTGCAAACGTACCTAGACACAACGGAGGGACATACCGCCGCTGCCGCCGCTTCTCCGCCGTCGGCCCACACCAACGCCCTTCGAAATCCAGAAACTACCCCGGACGACAGCTCCGAGGAGCCAGCCAGCGAAGGCACCATCACTTCCACCCCTGCGACATCCCCCTGACCTCCCAAACTGCTCACTAGGCTATCCCCTTCTGCCATTATCACTCCTGCACGCTCTCTTTTGCTTTCACCACCTTCTTGGGCATGAAACATGTTTCCGCGGACGTGACTTGGCACCGTTGCCGCAAGATGTTCGTCACCAGTCCCTCCTGCTCCTGTCGCACGCGGGAGTACTGTTTCACAGCCGCCGCTGGTGCCCCTGCCTTCCACCGCTGCCGTAGGATGCTTTGTTGCTCGGTCAGCTAGGGGTCCCCACAAGATTCCCCGCCCGGCCACGCGGTTGAGAAATTCGTCGCCTTTCCTGCTACCCGTTGTAGCCTAAAGGTGGTTGGTGTTCACAGCAGGTTGGATTCCACAAGCAGGTAGCGCCAGGAGGGTGTACATATTAACACCCGAACCGTGCCTCTAATGTTTTTCCCGAAGTACCTTCCTCGTCACTAGGTGTATGTACCACCATTTGCTTGCCCGTTGCCTGGCGGAATAACTATCGCATCGCTCATCGTCACCTTGTTCACATGTTCACACGCAATCGGTGTGCGTCTGCCTTTCGCCTATTGTCGCGCTAGACGTTCTCAAGGCACTATCACGGTTTCAAAGGCGCGGCGTGCGTTGTCTGGAGAAAAAAAAACTTCAACCCTGTTGACAAAGAGCCCCTAGCACGAATCTCCGGGGCTTGCTGCACTTCCTCCGGCACAAAAACCCGAGATCGCCACACGGTGGTAGCCGACAGGAACATGCTGTGAGGACCTGCGATCCCTCCCTCGCTGGCGAAGGCGAGATTCCCATTTTTACGACCCCCAAGAACACCGCATAGGCGGGGGACGATTTTTCCTTTACCGTTGTGTATAGGACGTCACTCACGTTTGCTCCATGTCCTGTCGCCACCGAGGCTTTCGTGGTAATCGTGCGGGCCATTTGCCGTTCTTTTTCCCTCACTTTTTCCTTCGCCTTGTCTTCCGCCGTGGGTGAACGCCACCTGTCTGCCCTGACATCGAACCTTTCGACGATTCCGGTTTCAATGTATGTTTGTTTGTGCACGGGAGGCAGTCAACACCGCACGGTGCGGTGAGGTTCGGTGGGGGATGATACGCAACGGAAAGGAGTTTTAGCGCGGGAATGGACCGATGACAATAGTTAGCTCCAAGACGATTCCGGCTAGTGCTTCATGTTGACAAAGATCATCCTCGCGTATTTCAAGCACACCCATACATCCCAAAGCAGGAGAACAAGCGACATCGGGGAACTGGTGTACGAAGGGGGGACTCTGGTTATGACCCCAGTACGATCCAGCCGAGAAGAGATCACGTTTGGTCAGCGGTGTCGCACACAATGCGATGGAAGCACTTGGAGGGGAGTCTTCAGGTGCCAACCCACAAATTTAGCTGAAAAGGCTTCGGCCGGCACTGCACCTTACGGGAGGGCACGTGGGACAATTTCGCCGGAAATACCCAACACATCCGCACTGAGAGCAGCGCTCCCCGCGCCGAGCTCGCTGCGCGCGCCGAATAGCCTTCTCTTCGTCACCCAGTTTCTCCCATTCTGTTTCCGAGGTACAATAAAGCGATGCTATGTCTGGTCACCCACAGCGGTTGTGGACATCGGTGTCGCCCTCGACGACAATACGCCTACCAATACATGATTCTCTGCAATTCTTCGCTGGAATAGCGGTGCTTGTGCCACTGACGCTCGTCCATGTAGTAGTGCCGAAGAACACGGAAAAACGGGAGGACATCAATAACCAGCGCGTTCCTCTTCGGGCGCTTACTTCGAGGTTTCTCCCAAAAAAAATGATTGCGTTGTCTTCGCTATTCCCCTGACGTCAGGTTTGATTTTCAGTACTCCGATCAACATGAGGTTCTTGGTGCGTTTATCGGTGACAGTAAACTTACTGTACGCTCCACAGCCTGGGAATTGTGCTCCTGTCGTAATGTGTCATGCAAAAGTAGCTGTCAACACCGGCAACAACAGTTTGGATTGTTTCCCCGACTTGTATTTCGACGGGAGTTGGTATGTTCAGGAAAAGAATGTGATGAAAGCTCACCAGCTGAGGCACCTGCAGGCAACGCTGACTCTTGTTCAGGCTGCAGCGAACGGGTGACCGCCAACAAGATTGCCAAGCCTCAAGCATTCTACTTTGGATACCGATTTCGGCATGTCCTTGAACAGCCGCGGTTGAGCTTGGGTTTATCCGCGGCCGGGCAGCCCTGAGGAGTGAACTCAGCAAGAAATTCATACCGCTAGAAAGAACGAAAATATAGTCTAACAGCAGACTGGTGTGTGCTTCCGGCCTCGTGGAATGCAGGTGCCATTGTCTGTGTCAATGCACTACATAATCTAGTCAATGTGACGAAATTTTGTCTCGACAACGGAAGGTGGAACACAACTGTAGTTTTCTGTAGGCAATACATTTTCCATCGCACGAACCTCGCTGGAGGACCTCCTGTTCGACGGGGCGCGCACATCCTTTCCGTATTGGAAAACGCGGTGGTGACTGCGTCCCTTTTGATTTTCCTTCTCCACTTCCGTCTTCTCCAGCAGCTCCTATGACTTCGGAGGTGTCCTCGATGTCCCTTGTTTGATGCTGCTCTGCCATTCCTGCTCTATGGTTTATGGGACTGCCACTAGGATGTTGAAGCGGAGGAGACATTTTCCTCTTCATCCTTCGCAGGTGATCGGGGTGAAAATTCTAGCCGTACGGATGCTGGTTAGGATGGTGGATCCGCTCAAACGTCAGCGGGGCTGGTGCATGTTACGGAACAGTTCCCCCGGTGATCTGCAAGCTTACGTGCGGAGGAGTTGCTTAATATTGGGTCCTCACAAAGCAGAGAGCATGACAGAGGCCATCGCTGGGGAGATTCCGTCGCGTGGGGTGCTCTTTCGGTTCTATTTCGATTGGTGTCTGTCGTCGTCTGCTCGTCGGTCTCCCGCGCGCGGGACCGTGTGGAAGTTTCGCTTTTTCCCCCGCAACACGCCTCGCGGACCTTTTCAACTCCCTTCTGTCTCTGTTCCCAGCTTCGGGGCCTCTAAGCCCCAACAGCTGGCATTGCCAGCCAGCCGGTTGGCAGTTGACAGGTGGTCTTGTCCACATAACATACGGACACGCAATCGACGGCTCGCGTCCAAGTGCAATCGACCATGGGGGAAAAGATCATGCGAAGGCGACCAAGACGGAAGTCTGCACCTCTTCTCCCCAAGGTGAGGCAGGCCCTTTCCCCGTTCGTTTTTGCCCACAGCACCCTCTGTCACGCCTTCCTAAGGTCTCTCTTTGCGTCCTGAGAGCTACTTCTGTACAAGGGGATGCTCTTGCCCCACGACCCCCCCAAGTACTATGTCCACCTGTCCAATCGGTTCATTGTGTGCATGTGAGTTGAGCTGAAGGAGACAACTGGCGCACGGTTGCCTGCATTTGCACCATGCCGCAAGCTACAAAAATTGCACTACGTTGTGTGCGGCGGAAATGCTGTACGACAGAGCTGTACCTTCTCTCCCGCGGCCTCGCCCAGAGCCACATATGGGCAATATGTTCAGTGGTCCAGTACCCCATTTTGTGGCATCCATCCCGTCGAACATTGTACGCGGTGACGTTTGAGGGCATAAGAGTGCTCGGCGACTCTTTGTTTTGTCCCTCTCTTTATTTTTTGGCGTCGCCACGGTGCACAGGTCCTGGCTGTGGCGAAACCTATCTTGCGGTGGGGCATCATGCCCGCGGTCTTGCTGATGGGCATGAGGTCGGAGCCCAACCCCACTCTGCTGGAAGTCCTTTACCCCCTGTGAATCGAGATAATTCGCTGTAGTGTACAGCACCTGCGCAAGGTAAGATGGAGGAACTATTCTTGCTCTTGGCTTTCGACTTTGCCCCCCGCCTTGCACGCGGCGCAATGAGTGCGACCCTGGCTCGTGGATGCCTGAAGCTAACGCTACGTAGAGTTAGTTTTGTGCATCCGAGCTGCGGGGCGGGGCTAGAGTCGTATTCACGGCGCCGAGCACGAGCCCGCGGGGCGGGGGGCGGAGTCGAAAGTTAACACCCGAAAATGTGGGCGACGTTCCGTTGAAAGTGTCGTGGCGCAGCCACCCCCCTTTCAACCTTGCTTGCATTCTTTACAAAATCCATGCCGGACGTTGACTGGCTCGCGTCTTCTTCACCGTGTTCAAGTCTGTTTTGGGGTACAGCTCCCAGGGTTGCGCCTCACTCGAGCACCTGTTGCCTTCATGCCGATTCGTGGTACCTCAGGTTCGTTGTTGTTTCATGCTTTCATCAGCAGCGCGGTGTACTACAAGCCAAACATACTAGTTTCAGTACGCATCGTAGCCAGTGGTTAGATGAAACTGAGTTCGCGGGTAAGCTATCTACTCCTCGAAGAAGTGGTAAAATTTCAATCAGATCATTGCGGTGTGACTGCAAAGCAAGCGGCCACAACATTCTGTAGGTGCAGTTTTACCATATTCCCTACAACATCCTGAACCAGGGACGTTCAATTTTTTCATGGGGATATTGGCCCAATGAAATTCCTTACCGGAAACCCTGTTTCTGTGCACTACCTCATCGTACATCCATTTTTACCAAAGTCGAAAGACACGCGAATTTTTGTTTAATCCCGGCGGATCTGCTGCAAAAAACGGGTTTTGATTCGTCCATGTGCTTCTCGAAATACACCAAGAGAGAAATGGAGCGAAATGTTTCCCTGTTAATATGTTTTCCACATCTGTGAATAAACACACGCCATGCTGCTGTAAGTTCCCTCACCTCAAGAACAATACTGTAGTGAAATGCCATTCACGGTGCCGCAACTAACTTTCGGTGGTCATATTGGGCTCGCCCAAGCGGGTGGATGTTGAACCTACATTTTTCTCCGGAAACCTGCTGCTACCCTCACGACGAAAACGAGTGGCGATACCCAATGATGCGTTTTCATCGTTTTCGGGCGGGGTTATTTTACAGGTATTCGAAAGGATGCCCTTCTTGGAGCTCTCAAACGGCCGCTGAGGACCAAGAGGAAGTTTGGAGGATCGGGGGTCGACTGGGGTAGGGATGCTGCAATCTCGACATTTCACCATGGACCGCAACAACTTGTCTCCGAAGAAATGTCGGGCCAATCATACTCGAGCCAGCAGGCGCCAACCGCCACTGCGGCATGGATGTTGGTCTGATCAGTTGCAGGGCGAGGTCTGGCGTGATGCCCTTCGCCAGTCCTTCATGATTTTTTTCCCGTGTTGAGCTAGGGGAACGTTTTAACACGTAAGCATGATGACTTGCCGGGGGGGGGGGGTCGTTTGGGATTCTAACAGAAGGATTTCTCCGGTGGCCTTTTTTTTGTTTTGCTTTCACAAGACGCCGTGGTGGCGTGTTTTTCTTGCAAGCACTGAAGTACCTGCAGCGAGCCTCTTGCCCGCTGTGACCGACAGGCGATAAACCCGCGCTACACCCGGAACACGATGTTCTTTCAACAGGCTCATGTGTAGCCTTGGGGAATCGTCCGACTCGAAATGCTGATGCTTTCGGAGAGCTAGCAAAGATCAACCAGTACTGCCCTGGTGCAACGTGTTGCCAGCTGAGCGGCTTGTCGGGTGTGAAGCATGCCGTGACCGTGCCGTATTCTCGAGTCCACAAGATGGTGTGAGCGGCGGAATCTTGCGAGAAGCGGAGGTGATTTCTCGAGCTCGCAGGCAGCAGCATCAAGGAAAAGTAATCCCTTGCATCCATACGGTTAGCTCTTCTCTCGCTGGCGGCACTCTTTGGGCATGTGATGTCTGCTGGCAGGGGCGCTCAATATCGAACACGTGAAGTTCCTGCGGTGACCTGGATCGTCCACGACTACAAATACTGTGGTCCGAGTGCAGAAAATTCTTCCTTGAAAATCTCCCAAGGTAGACGCGATTTCATGAACGCCATTGAGTGTTTCTCCCACGTTATCATTTGTGAAAGATCCCCTTCTACCGTGCCTTGGTGGATAGCCATACCGGGCTTGACTTGAACAAGTGTTTTTGGTGGTCACTCATGCGTTATTTCGCCAAGAACCCGCGATCCTTCACCCCGCTTGCTGGCGGCAACGGTAACCCCCACGCCAGGTCATATCTCACCGGTCCAACACGCGCAGTGTGGACAAACGATCTTGAGATTATCACGCTTCAAAAGTCAAATGGCAAAAAAGTAGAATGGGCTCTCTAGTACATTTTGGCGCAGCGGACGCGACTTTCTTTGGATAGCAACATCTGCATGCCTATTTCTCGGCTTCGACAAAATGTGACAACGACGAATTCTCTGTTTCGGGCGCCGCGTGTCCGAAGGTAGGAAGCGACGCACTTTGCGACCGAGAAAGTACCCCCCTCCGTTCCTACATGCGAGGTCACTGGACGGCATGCGTGTACACGAGCGCCCCCCACCCTCCGCTCGAAAAAAATGAGCAGAAAGATACACCGTCGGTGCCCCTCGAGCGTCGCACACAGATATCCCGCGCCGCGCGCTACTACACGATCGCGCTGAACCCGCAGTCCGCGTAGAGAGTCTGCCCCGTCACCGCCGACGACAGGGGCGAGGCCAGAAAAGTCGCCGCCGCCGCGATCTCGTCGAGATCCGCGGCCCGTCCCAGCGGCGCTCTCCCGGCGGCCTCCCGCCTCATCTCGTCGAAACCCACGATCCCGCGGGCCGCCATGGTCCGCACCGGGCCGGGACTGAGGCAGTTGACTCGCACCCCCCCGGGCCCTTGGCTGTTCGAGTCCCCCCCTAGCTCGGCGGCGAGGGCGCGCGCGCAGCTCTCCAGAGAGGCCTTGGCAGGTCCCATCACGTTGTAATTTGCGGCCGCCTGGTATTATACCATGGTGGAGGTATTTTTTTCACCGGGTGTTTGAGAAATACTTCACGGCAGAAGGACGAAGCCAAAAACATGGTCGATCGTTGTGCGAGGTTCGAGGAATTCCCACCTGTTTGGTGCGGAACTAGACTAGTCTGTCCCTTTCGACCGGAGTGAGGTGCGAGTATAGACACAATTGCTTTGAGGGTGTGCGGTTGTTGTGTTCGAACGCGCAGCTATTTAGAGAAAAGGAAAGCTGGCCCCGATGCGTGAACTCGCTCGAGGTCAGCGCATGAAGGGGAAAGCGGCGGTTGGGGTAGTTCCCCGCCCTCCCCACTGCCTCCCGGCGTCCCCCCCTCCAACGTGTGCCTAAATGTCTGGGGGGAGGGGGGGATAGTTCTCAAGTCAGCTCAACCGAAATGGATGGGGAACAAAATCGCCCCGTCGGACCCCGGAAAACCAGCAAAGCGAGGCGAAGAGGAAACCGACGCAAGACGGTCCCAAATCATCGTCCGATCGCTACATCTCGGTGGGCTACCATCCGGCCTCGTCCCAAAAACTCCCCGCGAGCCAGAGACAACGAGTCGACCTCGCTGTAGTTTCCGGAAAGTTTCCCGGAAAATGCACAGCAAAGAACCACGGGAAAAAAACAAGACAAGGATGGAAATATCGCATGTCTCGCATCCGTGTCGAAGACGTTGTCGGCCTCCATCTTCGGGATTAATGGTAACTGTGTGTTTACTCTGTTGAGAGACTCACCCTCTGTGAACCGATGTAAGTCAGAGCGACCACGCTGGCGCCTGGGGAGAGAAAAGGCAGCGCGTGTCGAACCGAGGACACCAGGCTGTACGCGGAGACTACGTGGGCGGATACGAATGCCTCTCGCGTGGTTCCCTGCGGTGTTTGGGCGACGGGCATCAAGGTTGACTTGATATCTCTCCACGCGAACGCAGCAGCTGCTGTAGCAGCAAAATAAGAAACGACGGTCCGCGATTGTTGCAAACAACGAAATGCCAAGCAAGATAATACCAAAAGACACTTTGCCCCCCCACAGAAAAGCACACCCGGTGATAATGATGTTAACCGCCAGGATTGATTTCCCCGGGCGCATTATCATGTGTGGAGATCCAGTACTACCCTTGAGGACAGGGGAGGGGGTGGAAATCTCCTCAGGGCGCCGTTTCTTCGTTCGGGGTTATTGCGAAAAGTGCGCCTCGCTTAAATAGCAAAGCTCGTCGCAGGCCGGGACACGTGAACTCACACACGTGCAAAAAAAACGTTTTTGAGTCGAGATCACAAATGATCTACGAAATGCAAGTAACAGCCATCGAAGGCCGTTGCCGGTGCCCGCTACAGACGCCTGGACCCACAACAGCGAACGAATGAGTGAGTAGCTTCCATCGGCCCATGCCCAGCAGGGCAGCGCATTGTCGTCGACATGCACCACCCAGCAACCTTCGCCAATCACCACAAACACGAAAAACAACTTCCATGTGTCTGAAGATATGCGCTGGCCATCAGCTAGAAGACCTTGCGTCTACTCGTCTTTCACGACTACCACGTAGCGGTGCCACACCGACAACAGAGACGGGCCCACAAAACATCAACATCAGCGAGATTTACGACAGACAACAGCATATCAGCACACGAATGATCCAAAAAAGAGGTACCACCACCTGGCCTTGGCTCTTCTCCGCCCCTCTCTCCCGCCACGAAAACGCTTCCTCACCATGAGAAACCCTTGCCGCATGGCGTCCGTAGGGGCATGAGCGACGGAGTGAAGAACGATATCGACGGTTTTCGTCGGCGCCGCAACCCCGCCCCCTACCGGCAACCCTTGCCGCTGTAACCTCAGGCCACCGCCCTGCCCCTCCCCCTCGGCCCTCCCGCTGCTGCAGCTGCTAGTAGCAGACCCTCCCGGAGCTTGCTCTGCCGCTCCAGTCTTCGCTGCCGATGCTTGCGATGCTCCGACACCGCCCCCTCCCCGCCTCCTCGCTTCTGGCGCTGCCCGTGGGGCCCGCTCGGTTCCCTCGCCCGCCGCTTTGGAACGCCCGCCCCCCTCCTCCAGGGGCGAGGAGGGGCTGCTGCAGCAGAAACCCCTCTCGTGAAGCGTTCGCCAAAGCGCCGCCATGTCCTCTTCCTAGAACACAGGTGGGGGGCAGGAGGGGTGGCTCTGTATCAAGCGGGGGGAGACACACATCGGCCCTTCCCCGACTTTAACCAAGGGGAACGCACTAGCATTCGTCGAACTGAAGTATGCGCAATATGCCATGGAAAAGCCGGGGCGCGATGACTTGGTTCTTGGGTACCATCTGAACGCGTAATGCACCCATGCAAAGGTTTAGTGTGTGCCGTGCTCTTGTCACTTACAATCGCCGCGCTAACCAGTTGATCAAAGAAAATACGCGACGGTCTCACAGCGAGAAATGAACGCCAACACGTCTTCCGGTCTCAAGTGTGTGCGTTCGTAGGCGATAGATATATTTCAAGCAAGCATCGACTGAGGGCCCCGGGAGACCAGTGCGCAAAGATCCAGCCATTCTCTAGACACAAATGTCTTCTATATACTTTGTAAGACCTGGTCTAGCAGAAGAGTGGGGCGGGATTGAAACACCCAGGACCGTCGCCATTTGGGCCTGTGCGAACTACATACATACATACCCGTAGTCCACATTCGAGACAGCACGCGAGAAACAATCGGGGATATTGGTCTGGTGCTCGGTACTCAAGTGCCATGACTAAAATATAGTCTGTTGTATGTCAGACTTACGCTGGTCACGTCGCACGCCGCTGTGGGAATGGCATTGCCTGCTGTGTCGAAAGGCCCCCAGTTGTCTGCCACGAGCTTCTCCACGGGCTTGCGAAACCGCTCACTCTGTAACCGACCACAAACAGCAGGCTGGTGAAACGGATGCATGTTCTATGAACAGTATCGAAACGGTGGATGATGCAGCGTGGGACGAGAAACGAATACGTCAGCCTGTCAATACTACCATGCATAGACTACTGCTACTCTTGCTGCTGCTGCTCCCGCTGCTACACGATCGGCGTCATGTCCTGCTGTACATAGTCTACATTCAGAGGTTACCGGCGACACGAACTTTAAGTTTCATGGGCGCCAATTGAGCCGTTGTTTGTTGCCTGTGGGGATCGCAGAAGAAGCAAATATGTACACTGACGCTATCGATTCATTGCTAATCTGTCGCCGACTCTTTTCTTAGAGATGGATTCGTTGTGTTATACTAAGAAAAACAACAAATAGATATATACATGCATCGCGAGCAATCACCTGATAGGTGACGAAGACCTCTGCCCCTTCTTGCCTCCAACGATCCGCAATTCCCCAGGCTATAGAACGCGCGTTAGCCACGCCGATAACAAGCGCTCGCCTCCCCTGCAACATGGTTCGCTGTTGTTATGCAGAGATGGCTCACCACCTCACACAGAGATGCTTACAAGCTTACAACGCAGAGCACAGTCACACCCAGTAATTGTTTCCGATTCCAGCACTAGCCTCCTAACCGTACATAAGGGCGAGAGCGAGAGAGAGAGAGAGAGAGAGCGCAGGAGAGCGGAGTAGGGTAAGGCCGGGGGAGGTGACGGTTCGGGTCGGCGAACGTTCGCGAACTTCCCTGCCGAAATCGCGCCGCGTTTTTTTTTCAGCAGCGTACACACTGCGCACGCAAGTGTCACAACGTTTCCAGCCGTTGTAGAGGGGAACGTGTCAGCTACAAGGAGGGAGAGAGCCGGAGGATACGTGAGACTGTAGGAGAGGCCGTTGGAGGAAGGGCGACCGGTGCCAGCAACGGGTTGACTGACTGCCGCAGCATCTCAGTCTTGCGCAGATCTCAACGCGGCATTTTGCTGACGCAGCAGCAACGCAGCGCCTGCAGCAGTAGCTTCTACCTCTGCTCTCGCTAGAGGTCTGCGGTGTGTGAGGCATGGGTTCTGGACAGAGGTGAGGCCGTAGTGAATCGTCGTGGTGCTGTGCCTGCTTCTGTCTTCCAGGGTTGCTCTGTGCGCCTCTACCCTTTGAGTTGATTGTGTTCTCTCGCCCGCAGCAGTTGTAGTTGTTGTTTCTCGGACACACGCTGTTCGACAGCTACGAGCCCACTCGCTCACCTTCACACGACGCCTTGTTGGGACGTTCACACACTCTCTACCTTTTTTTCATGCGTGACCCATGCCTACTGGCGGGATGAAAGTGCCATATTCAAGGACAAAGGAAGAGCAGTGTTGCTTGTTGCAGAAGTCAAGGAGCGGGTCGATCGACCCTCGGTAACATGAGCACGCACACACATTACGCACCCGCCGTAGTATCGGGATCGATCATGTTCCACGCACCACACCAGTGAGTGCTGTTTTCGCTGCTTTCCCAAAGGGACAAGGAACAGAGTTTTTTTGTGCGTGTTGCCCCGCTCGCGGAGGCATGCAAGCACGCCTCCATCAAACAGTGGCCCGCGTGACCAATGCTATGGCGCGGTTCTGGCAAAGTGCGGCGGGGAAAATATTTAACGGACCCGAGATGTGGTTTGGACTATCCCCGGTGCACTGTGTATTGAATACTTGAAGTAATTATGAGTAGTTCCCCAACCCTGTTTCCGACTCAACATGAAAAGCATGGACGATGCCGGCCGATCACACCTGCGTCCTCCTTTATTTTTATTTTTGTTTTTGTTTATTTTGAGCGGTTTCCGAGGGCTCTTTGGTACAGTACCTGTTACTTTCTCTTTGGTATCATTTTGTTCTCTTTTTCCGAGTGGTTGTACCCTGTTTTTGTTTTGTTTCCCCGCGGCGTCATATGTGCCGGGTTTTGAGACCATGGGCTCCCCATTTTTTGTGGACCACAGAGCTAATGTGAGAAACAACAACAACAACAACAACAACAACCTACGTGGTGCTGCAGAAAAACGAGATACTTTCCGCTTCATAGCGTCACTTTCACGTTATTGGCTGCGTTCCGTAAAACACTACTGCTGTTGTATTCCCTTGCTATGTATTGCGGACATGTTCACGGAGCGGTTTTTCGGGGGGAAGGAGCGAAGCGGATCGGCTTATTTTCCCGCTCCTCTTTCCGCCCTGAAAACAACCGAAAAATGCTCTGCTCCGTTCCATGACAACTGAAAATTGAAACTCTCAGCTCCGGTGTAACTGAAGGGTGCGGCTGCGCTGCAGCTCGACGATTTGTATTGCTGACTTGCGAGGCGCGCCGAGAGATACGTACGGTACTGTCTAGAGACGGAAAGTCGACCGCTAACCCCCACAATTGTGATCACAACCAGTGCAACAGACTGCTGTATTTGCTTACACTACTGTTTTCACTTACGCAAGAGAGTGCTGCACTATTCTCACATTAAAAGTCCAAGGAAATGTGTACCGCGCGAGGGGTGGGTAGTGGGCCTCAGGGAGAGAAACCCGACTGTGTGACCACGGGTTGAACTAAACGGCTCAAGTGCTGTGAGCGCTGATTTGGAATTAAGACAAAAAAAAAAAAATGACAACTCTCCACTGCACTACTGAACCCCACCACCGTTTTAATATCCGGGCGCCCTATTGTTTGGTGTTTGCTTGTCCTGACGTGCAGACGGGCACCGCCTCAAACCCAACCCCCACTGTCGAAGCCCTTGGACTATCCCCGGTCGTTCAAGGGCGGCGGTGGCGATGCCACCGACTTCGGCGACACCAGTAGCGCCAGTAGCAGCAGCGGTGGTGGCGAGGATGAGCCGTACGAAACGGAAACCTTACAGGAGAGGGTAGAACAGCACCAACACCAGCGGCAACCTCTCCTCTGTTTGGAAAAGGAGGGAGGGCCCGACGTTGCCATCAAGAAGACCTCGGAGCTCTGGCACATCCACGGTAGACATTTCGACCTTACCCCCTTCTTGGACCACCACCCGGTGAGAAAGGTTTTATCTGCTCCGCAGAATCAAGGGTAGTCTCACCCCCCCCCTCCCAGCCCGTATATTTTGTCCGGAAGGATATCCGACATGTGCTCTGCCTCGGTTTAGTGAAGGCTCCGTCCTTGCGTGATAAGGGCGTCAGGTCTATCGTTCGGACATGATTCCTGAGTCCAAACCCCTGCCCCCAACAACAGCAACAACAACGGAGGATAAAAAAAAAACGCATCCAACGATTAACCAGCTTGTCGTCGTTGTGGTCGCGATATAATTCTCGCCCAGGGAGGGTCTAGCATCCTCGAAGCGATGAAGGGAGCGGAGGACATCACCCCGGTCTTCGAGAGCTACCACGCCCTGGCACACAGCGCCGCCATCCGACAGAGCTTGGAAAAGTTCGAGTGGACGGGCAAGGTGAGAAGGCATCCTATAATACTTCCTGTGGGATCCTTAACGTCTTCGCCTCGCGTTCTCATCGGTGGCCCCCTGCACTTGACAACGTGCCTCACGAGGGGAGACAACGTTTGAATTCAGCGCATTTTGTTTACTTCAAAGTGTATGTTTCGGTGGGAGTGCTGCTGTTAGCTGCAATTTTTCTGCTCGAAGTATGCACATTTGCGCAATATATATATTTGATTGATTTTCGCCGAATGTCTCCCTCCGTTTTCCCTTAATCTGTTGCTGATCTTTGTAGCTCGTGGACGACGTGTCGGAGCGGGAGGCAGCCCTCGTGGGCGGCACGCGGAAAGAGCCCGTGAGGTACCGATGGGATGAGGGGGGCTTCTACGCCGTCCTTACCGCAAGAGTCAAGTCCTACTTCCTCCAGAAGCACGGGCGGGCGGGAGTGGACCCGCGAAATGCCTCGGTCAACCGGTTTGTGAAGGTGGGACGGTGTTCGGGCCCCGTGGGTGTGAATGATCAGCCCCCCCGGGCGGTCATGAGGCACGTACTTGCGAACGGTTCCCTGTTCGAAGCCGTGGTTCCCAAGCCCTTGATGATGCAGACGCACGCAGTGACGGATGACTGTTGTCGCTTCCGGAGGCTTGACATGTTGGCGGAGGGGCGGGTGAAGAACAGTGCGTGGGTCTTACCGTAGGTCGCTGTTGGAAATTTTACGAGGAATCCAGGAGAACGCGTGGGAAAGTGTTACGCAGAAAAACAAATCCAAATTTTCATGTTTGTGTTAAACTCTCTGAGCGCTTTCGTTCGTACCGTCCAGCCTCCCATTTCTGTCTGTCTGTGTGTGTGTCTGTCTGTCTGTCTGTCTGTCTGTCTGTCTCTCTCTCTCTCTCTCTCTCTCTCTCTCTCTCTCTCTCTCCTCGCTCCCGCTCTTTCGCGTACATCATTCTTTTCGATGGAGGAGGCCCCGCCGGCTTGGTACTTAAAGGAGTTGCTTATCCTGGTGGTGTACCTGCCCCTCTTCGCGTGTATGCTTGGGTACAACGTCTGTGGGACCGGGTTAGGGGAGGCCCTTTCTCCACCACCGCTGTGGGTGCGCGCCACGGCCGCCGTGCTCGCGGGGGGCTTGCTGCAGTCGTTCTCCTTCTGCACGCTGCACGACGCCTCTCACTACGGCCTGCTCTTCAAGGTGGGCTGGCTGGTTTTTGGATGCTTGCATCGATCGAGCAATGCTTGCCGGCTGACCAATGAAATGCCGCTCGTTTATTGAACGTTGCTTGGCCGCGCCAACCGGCTGAGGAAGAATATGGCGTCAGTTTGACATTCCGAAGTTGCATCGACCGCGCTGACCGGCTGACCAAGGGAGCTACGCTCAGTCTGATTATAGCGAGATAAGAATCGTGGACACACTTTCAAGGTGTGGGTGGGAGGGTGGGTGCGTGCCTTCTTTGTTCTTCTCGTACTTTTTTTCTGCTGGGGCTGGGTGGCACCCCACCACTAGAGTGTCGATTTTTCGCTAAAAAAATCGAATCCGTGCGTGTGGTCTGTGCGTCGGCAGAGACCGCGGGTACAGGAGGTCGTTTCCCGCCTCTGTAACGCTTGGACCCTCTGGCACCACGGGCTTTGGGTGATGCATCATGTCTACGGCCACCACTCTTTCACGGGTGAGTTTCGATCGGTCGTTGTCGTTGGTGGCGATGGTGGTGGTGGTAGAAGTGATAGTGGTTGTCATGTCTATCGTAAGTGGCCATGGTACCGATCGGTTGAGTTGTCGTGGTCATGGACGGCGTTAGCGGCCATGGTTGTCGATGCCGTTCGTGGCCATGGCTGTTGTCAGCGCGTTTTTTCGCGCAGCAGACAGAGTGTCTCTGCATGTCTCCCGCGTTTTTTATAGCCAGGCTTAGCGCCCGGTGCAGACATGCACGTAGTCGTGCTCGCTTTGCGTGTTTGTGTGTTCGCGCGTCCTTTCTCTATGGGTCGATCGATGCGACGTCGTGTGTTCGCTTGCCGGTGAACCTTCCCAACGTTCCTTGAACCCCATCAAGTCATGCTTGAGGTGCTTGATGCCACTCCCGTTCTCCTTTTGTGGTATTTTGTGTGATGGTACGAGTTTTACCGGTGCGAAGCGGTCCCTGCTTGTTGTCGTTTTTCGCTCCCCTCCCTCGGAGCCTTCCTTTGTATCGTGAAAAAACACATGTTATTGTCATCATCTCGTCACTGCTTGTTACTTACGTTCTTCTCACACCAAGTCTCCCATCAGCTCGAATCCCCCGCCCCTTGCCTCTCCAGTGTCGTCCCGTCTGATGGAACACGTGACCCCCACTATGTTCAAACTCGTCACCCCCTCCCCAACCTCTGCGGCCCCCGTTTTGCAGGAGACCCAGAGAGAGATCCGGACCTCGTGCACGCTCGCCCTTACCTTAGGAAGAGTATTCTTGCTCCCGCAGAGCAGTACGACCCCTTCTTGGTCAAGTGAGAAAGAGGGAAAGGGAGTGACAGAGCATGGATGGGGACGAGTGCCCCCTGCTGCTTTTATTTGTACGCGGCTTGCCTTGTGTTTTTGTTATGTGTGTGTGTGTGTGTGTTTTTTTATGTGTGCAGTGAATTACTCACCTCTCCTCTGCCGGTGCATTGAGCGCGCGATATATATATAGGAGACAGACAAATGTTATCTAAAACAATCACCAAGATATCGAGCATGTTTAATCGAGGGCACTACTTGCGTCGAAGTTAGTTTGCCATCGGGGTTGGGTTTTCGTCGCTTGGCAACGACGCTGTATAACAAGCCAATTCACTTCGTGAACTCGGCAACCAGGTCACCGTTTTTTTTTTTTTACCTCTGTTTGTTTTTGGCGGTAACCATAATGGTGGTCGAGTAGATCATGTTGTGCGGGGTGGAGAACCCTCACTCCGCGCAAGGGGGATGATCGCACCACGTTGTGTTAAAATGG